TTAAATTGAAAGATACATTTATTTTGGTGTAAAAAAGGTTTTTAAATCCATGCATCATTTTTTTTTTTTTGACAGAGTGGACAGTGAGAGAGAGAGAGACAGAGAGAGCAGAGAAAGGTCTTCCTTTGCCGTTGGTTCACCCTCCAATGGCCACTGTGGCTGGTGCACTGCGGCCAGCGCACTGCGCTGATCCGAAGGCAGGAGCCAGGTGCTTCTCCTGGTCTCCCATGGGGTGCAGGGCCCAAGCACTTGAGCCATCCTCCACTGCACTCCCGGGCCACAGCAGAGAGCTGGCCTGGAAGAGGGGCAACCGGGACAGAATAAGGCACCCCCAACCACGACTAGAACCCGGTGTGCCGGCGCCACTAGGCAGAGGATTAGCTTAGTGAGCCGCGGTGCTGGCCATGCATCATTTTTGATCATGTGTATTTTCCAGGAATGTTATAAAGACCCTATTGTCAGCCGGCGCTGCGGCTCACTAGGCTAATCCTCCCCCTTGCAGCGCCGGTACACCGGGTTCTAGTCCCGGTCAGGGCACCGGATTCTGTCCCGGTTGCCCCTCTTCCAGGCCAGCTCTCTGCTGTGGCCAGGGAGTGCAGTGGAGGATGGCCCAGGTGCTTGGGCCCTGCACCCCATGGGAGACCAGGATAAGTACCTGGCTCCTGCCATCGATCGGATCAGCGCGGTGCGCCAGCTGCAGCGTGCCAGCCGCAGCAGCCATTGGAGGGTGAACCAACGGCAAAAGGAAGACCTTTCTCTCTGTCTCTCTCTCTCATTGTCCACTCTGCCTGTCAAAAAAAAAAAAAAAAAAAAAAAAAAAAAAAAAAAAAAGACCCTATTGTCCAAAACAGTTTCTCGTATTTCAAAGATTCTGGTCTTATCCACTAAGTTATGCAGCACATATGGTGAAACACTAGAGTGGTTTTTTTTTTTTAAGATTTATTATTTATTTAAAAAGCAGAGTGACAGAGATAGAGGTCTTCCATCCACTGGGAGACCACTTCCATTCACGCCCCCAAATGGCTGCAACAATTGGGGCTAGGCCAGGCTGAAGCCAAGAGCCTGAAGTGCCACTCTGGTCTCCCATGTGGGTGCAGGGGCCCAAACACTTGGGCCATCTTCTGCTGCTTTCCCAAGAGCATTAGCAGGGAGCAGGATCTGAAACAGAGCAGCCAGGAATGGAACTACTGCTCTGATCGGGGGTAAGGGCATCACAGACAGCAGTTTTACCTGCTGAACCACAATGCCAGCCTCTTTGCTTAATTGATCAGTCCCAAGTGTGCACCCATGGAATGATCACCAGCTTATTCCAATGAATTCTTCCTGTCTCTGGGTGGTAGAAAGCAGGGCCCACATGGTCAGTCCTTTCTTCTTGTCCCTCTCCAGGCAAAAACAAAGAATGTGAGGCCTTCATTTGTGACTGCGACCGCAAAGCTGCCATCTGCTTTTCCAAGGCGCCCTACAACAAGGAGTACAAGGACCTGGATTCCAAGTACTGCTAGGTGCACCAGTCACCACGGAAAGCATCATCCTCACCTGCCTCCCTGGCTTCACCTTACACTGAGCCCTTCAATAAAGCACTTGCTGGCAAGACCTCGTGTTTGGAGAGTGCTTTAATCTCTGATCCTAAACATCACTAGGTCTCTGCCACGTCTTCTGTGAACATCACTCCTCCCAGCCTTGGAGACTGAAGTTGAATTAGCAGGATTCAAGCACGCAAAGCCTGAATAACGACGAGCAGTCATCACCTGCTGAGTGTTGTGGTGGTGTCAGGACTGTGCATCTCTCTCTCTCTCTCTTTTTTTTTTTTTTTTTTTTTTTGGACAGCAGAGTGGACAGTGAGAGAGAGAGACAGAGAGAAAGGTCTTCCTTTTGCCGTTGGTTCACCCTCCAATGGCCACCGCGGCCGGCGCGCTGCAGCCGTCGCACCGCGCTGATCTGATGGCAGGAGCCAGGAGCCAGGTGCTTTTCCTGGTCTCCCATGGGGTGCAGGGTCCAAGCACTTTGGGCCATCCTCCACTGCACTCCCTGGCCACAGCAGAGGGCTGGCCTGGAAGAGGGGCAACCGGGACAGAATCCGGCGCCCCGACCTGGACTAGAACCCGGTGTGCCGGCGCCGCAAGGTGGAGGATTAGCCTAGTGAGCCGCGGCGCCGGAGGACTGTGCATCTCTAAGTCCCCTGCACAGCCCTCTGAGACACTGGCACTATTAGAAAAACTTATTTTCGGCCAGCGCCACGGCTCACTAGGCTAATCCTCTGCCTTGCGGGGCCGGCACACCGGGTTCTAGTCCCGGTTGGGGAGCCAGATTCTGTCCTGGTTGCCCCTCTTCCAGGCCAGCTCTCTTCTGTGGCCAGGGAGTGCAGTGGAGGATGGCCCAAGTGCTTGGGCCCTGCACCCCATGGGAAACCAGGATAACTACCTGGCTCCTGCCATCGGATCAGCGCAATACGCCGGCCGCAGTGCGCCGGCCACAGTGGCCATTGGAGGGTGAACCAACGGCAAAGGAAGACCTTTCTCTCTGTCTCTCTCTCTCACTGTCCACTCTGCCTGTCAAAAAAAAAAAAAGAAAAAAAAAAGAAAAAACTTATTTTCTCAGGCCGGCGCTGCGGCTCACTAGGCTAGTCCTCTGCCTGCGGCACCGGCACCCTGGGCTCTAGTCCCGGTTGGGGCACTGGGTTCTGTCCCGGTTGCTCCTCTTCCAGTCCAGCTCTCTGCTGTGGCCCAAGTGCTTGGGCTCTGCACCCGCATGGGAGACCAAGACAAGCACCTGCCTCCTGGCTTCGGATTGGCACAGTGCGCCGGCCGTAGCAGCCATTTGAGGGGTGAACCAACAGAAAGAAAGACCTTTCTCTCTGTCTCTCTCTCTCTCTCACTGTCTAACTCTGCCCGTCAAAAAAAAGAAAAAAAAAAACTTATTTTTCCAAACTCAAGTTTGGTGGGAGAAGTTCCTTGCCCAGTGATATCATCTAGTGAGCGGCAGAGAAAGGAGCTGAACCTCGCTCGTGTTTAAAGGAGTTGAACATACACCCTTGTTTAATATTAGTGACTCAGAGATCTCCCATCAGCTGGTTCACTCCACAAATGGCAGGGCTGAACACTGAACCGCCGTGCCAATGCCGCCTGCCTTCTTTTTTTAAGTTTATCTATTTTCATACACTTGAAACAAGCAGAAACAGATCTTCCATGAACTGGTTCACTCCCCAAATGCCTGCAACAGCCAGGACTGGGCCAGGTGGAAGCCAGGAGACAGGAACTCCCCCCAGGTCTTCCATGTGGGTGGGTAGTTGCCCAAGCACTGGGGCCATCACCTGTCAGATCAGAAGCAGAGTAACCAGGACTTGAAACAGAAGTATGGGCATCGCAAGCGGCAGCTCAGCCCACTGTGCCACGGCACCCACTCCAGAACACATGCTGTTAACTGCCTCCCTGATGTATTGAAGTCTTTAGTATGTGCCAGCTCTCACCTGCTCTCATTCCTGTTTTTATTTCCAATGCGTTAAGCTGTTTCTCCCTACAATTCTTTTTTCTAAATTGTTCAAATACTTCACCATCCTCTGCAAGCTGATTTTCATGTTATAGTAATCAAATATAATAACCAATAACAGAGGTCGGCACTGTGGCGCAGTTGGTTAACACGCAGCTTGCAATGCCAGCATCCCATATCTGAGTGACAATTCAGGTCCCCGATACACTGCTTTTTTTTTTTTTTTTTTTTTTTTGACAGGCAGAGTGGACAGTGAGAGACAGAGACAGAGAAAGGTCTTCCTTTGCCGTTGGTTCACCCTCCAATGGCCACTGCAGCCGGCGCTGAGCCCATCTGAAGCCAGGAGCCAGGTGTTTCTCCTGGTCTCCCATGCGGGTGCAGGGCCCAAGCACTTGGGCCATCCTCCACTGCACTCCCTGGCCACAGCAGAGAGCTGGCCTCGAAGAGGGGCAACCAGGACAGAATCCGGTGCCCCGACCGGGACTAGAACCCAGTGTGCCGGCGCCACAGGCGGAGGATTAGCCTAGTGAACCATGGCGCCGGCCCTGATACTCTGCTTCTAATCCAGTTTCTCGTTAATGCATCTGGGAGGATAGCAGAAGACAGCCCAAGTGCTTGAGCCCCTGCCACCCATGCGGGAGACGTGCATGGAGTTCCTGGCTCCAGGATCTGGCCTGGCCCAGCCCAGCCCTAGCTGTAGGAGCCATTTAGGGAGTGAAGCAGCAGATGGAAGGTCTCTCTCTCTTGCTCTCTCTCTCTCTCTCTGTGTGTGCGTGCTTCTCCCTGCCTCTCCCTCTCTGTTACTCCGCCTCTCAAATGAATAAATGAATCTTTGACAATATAGAATTACAGAGAGACAGATCTTCCATCTGCTGCACCATATGGGATGCCAGCATTCCAGGCCGTGGCTTCACCACTAGGCCACAACACCAGCCCAGACCATAAAGTCTTTCATCACTAGAAAGAAACGGAAAGTCTCTGTTTGCATGGAAGAAAAGTGGTCTTTTAGGAAATGAGTGCTTATACTCTCAATCCACTTATTTTTCTAGATGACCAAACAGGAGAAAACAAAGACTCGGGTACAAAAGGCTGTAGCTGGGCCCTAAAATACCCTTTGGAGTAAAAATATACTTTTTTTTTTCATTATCCCAAGGGCTCGGCAGAGAACAAATTGTTTTAACAGTACTTTAAAGAGCATGCGCTGGGTGCTCTTTATGGGAAATGGGTAATGGAAAGTACAATACAATGGCTAAGCTGACTTAAATGAAAAAAACCTAACTGGACTTAGAGTGATGTGACGACGGGCTCACATTCCAGCAGCCACAGTATTTTCATAGTGCTTAACGCGTGCCACGTGCTCCTAAAATAAGTCCCTGAAGAAAGCACAGTTTGGCGCAGCCTGTTCAGCAGACGAGAAAACAGCCACGTGGCTGTATTTACATTCTCACGTCACGTGACACTTGGCGCCCAACCCCAGTCAATGTTTCGCCTCTAGCCCCACTGCCGGAGGGATTTCAGGGTAGGGTGTGTAACTGGGCAGCGTCTGAGCACGTGACTCTTAGGCGCTTTTCTATTGGTGAACAGTGGCCCAGCCTCTATTCTAACCCCCCACCCCGTGCCTGCCAGGCCCAGGCCCCGCCCCCCTCGGCGCCTGAACTGCGCAGGCGCAGTAACTGGTCTCGCTAGCTGCTGGCGGCGTGTCCGTGAGGTGACTGCGGCTGGGTGCGCGGGTTCCTGGCTTCCAGGTGGCGGTTTCCTCCTGAACCGGAGCCTGAAAGGACAGCGTATGACAAAAGGGCTCGCGTAGGTGTCTGGGGCCAATTTTCCTGCTTTGCTCTAACCTCAGGGCCGCTAACCCGTCCACCGGCAGTTTCCGGTTGGCAACCCCAGAGCGTCAGTGCTGCGTTGAGCGGTGAGGGGCCCGGGAGGGAACGTGGGGCGCGGGAAAGCAAAGGGGAGCCGAGATGTGGGGTGGCCAGGGGGAGGTCAGGAGAGGCGAGCGGATGTCGGCTTCCCCAAAGTCCGCACTTAGGCCGGCGCTGCGGCTCACTAGGCTAATCCTCCACCTGCGGCGCCAGCACACCGGATTCTGTCCCGGTTGCTCCTCTTCCAGGCCAGCTCTCTGCTGTGGCCCGGGAGGGCAGTGGAGGATGGCCCAAGTGCTTGGGTTCTGCACCCCATGGGAGACCAGGAGGAAGCGCCTGGCTCCTGGCTTCAGATCGGCTCAGCGCCGGCCGTAGCGGCAATTTGGGGGGTGAACCAACGGAAGGAAGACCTTTCTCTCTGTCTCTCTCTCTCTAACTCTGCCTGTCAAAAAATAATAATAAAAATTAAAAAGTCCGCACTTAAACTCCACCCGCTCCTTGGAGAGAGAGAGGAGTGAAGGCCCGTGCGGTGCTAACCACGCGTTAGCATTGGCTTTGGTGGTGGGCGTGAGCTTCCTTTGGCGTGCGCTCCCATTCCCGCCTGGTGGACGCATGTTCTTCTCCGAAGACCCAGCCTAGGCCACTTCTGGACATTTCTTGAACCGTGTCCTTCCTCTGGTACGGTTGTCCAGTTACCCCACAAGGTGTTCAGAGCGGTGGAGCGAGTTGATTCCTGGCCTGGTCACCCTAGGTGACCTTGAATAAATGATGTCTCCAAGCTTCCTCATTTTTCAAAAGAAATGATACGGTTGTGGGATTTCAGTAAGAGAATGTGCATAAAATGCTTCCTGCCGAACAGCTATTGATAAATGTTCACGAAATATTGTTTTCCTAAGGGGTAGGAGAGAATACAGGCTTTACATTTCTTTAAGCTTTATGACACCAAGATTTTTATTTCTAATTTTTTAATAAAAAATTAAGATTTATTTATTTGAAAGGCAGAGAGAGAGAGATGGATCTTCTATGTGCTTGGTCACTCCCTAAATGGCTGCAACAGGCAGGACTAGGCCAGACCGAACCCAGGAGCTAGGAACTACAACCGGGTCTCCCACATGGATGGCAAGGACCCAAGCACTTGGGCCATCCTCTGCTGCTTTCCCAGGTACATTAGCAGGGAGCTGGATCTGAAGTGGAGCAGCGGGGACTCCAGCTGGCCTCTGATATGGGATGCCAGTGTCAAACCCACTGAGCAAGAACAATGGCCCTTGTGATTAAAAAAAAAAAATGCTCCTCTGAGAAAAATCATTGTGAAGTTGGGGTAAAGGAATTCTCATTAGGGGCAGAGACCTCCCTTACCTGCTGCCATACTGTAATTATAATGGCTGACATTGGCTTTTTTAAGATTTTATTTATTTATTTGAGAAGCAGAGTTACAGACAGAGAGAGAGATAGACAGAAAGGTCTTCCTTTTGGTTCACTCCCCAAATGGCTGAAACGGCCAGAGCTGCGCTGATTGGAAGCCAGGAGCCAGGTACTTTCTCCCATCTCCCATGCGGGTGCAGCGGCCCAATGATTTGGGCCATCTTCTGCTTTCCCAGGCCATAGAGAGCTGGATTGGAAGAAGAGCAGCTGGGACTAGAACCTGGCACCCGTATGGGATGCCAGTGCTGCAGGCGGAGGATTAACCCACTGTGCCATGGCACTGGCCCCGTATTTTTTTTTTTTTTTTTGAAAGATTTATTTATTTATTTGAAAGAGTTACACAGAGAGAGGAGAGGTAGAGAGAGGGAGAGAGAGAGGGGTCTTCCATCCGCTGGTTCACTCCCCAATTGGCCGCAATGGCTGGAGCTTCTTCCAGGTCTCCCACATGGGTGCAGGGGCCCAAGGACCTGGGCCATCTTCTACTGCTTTCCCAGGTCATAGCAGAGAGCTGGATCGGAAGTCGAGCAGCCCGGTCTTTAACCAGTGCCCATATGGGATGCCGGCACTTCAGGCCAGGGCGTTAACCTGCTGTGTCACAGCCCAGGCCCCTAATTTTTTTTATTTATTTATTTATTTATTTATTTTACAGGCAGAGTGGACAGTGAGAGAGAGACAAAGAGAAAGGTCTTCCTTTTGCCGTTGGTTCACCCTCCAATGGCTGCTGCTGCCAGCGCGCTACAGCCACTGCACCACGCTGATCCAAAAGCAAGAGCCAGGTACTTATCCTGGTCTCCCATGGGGTGCAGGGCCCAAACACCTGGGCCATCCTCCACTGCACTCCCGGGCCACAGCAGAGAGCTGGCCTGGAAGAGGGGCAACCGGGACAGAATCCGGCACCCCGACCAGGACTAGAACCCGGTGGGCCAGCGCCGCTAGGCGGAGGATTAGCCTGTTGAGCCGCGGCGCCGGCCCTAATTATTTTTTAAAGATTTATTTTTATTTATTTGAAAGAGTTACAGAAAGAGGTAGACAGAGAGAGAGAGGTCTTCCAACTGTTGGTTCCCTCCCCAGATGGCTGCAATAGCCAGAGCTGCACCTATCTGAAGCCAGGAGCTTCTTCTGGGTCTCCCACATGCATGCAGGGGCCCAAGGACTTGGGACATCTTCTACTGCTACCCCAGGCCATAGCAGAGAGTTGGATCAGAAGAGAGCAGCTGGGACTAGAACCAGCGCCCATATAGGATGCCGGGGCTTCAGGCCAGGGGTTTAACCCTTGCGCCACAGTGCCAACAGCAGAACTCTTGAGTTTTTAAGATTGTGGCTTATCCCAGTTAACTGAAGTTTGCTCCCAAGGCAGGTGCAGGGTGAGCATGTGTTGCCTGCCCTAATTTTAGACAAAAGGCTATCTGGAATAGGCTGTGAGATTAATCTGCTTCACTTTTCAGGGTACACTGACTCTCTTGGGCTAAAGCAGTAATCAAACAAGGCTAGCTACTTTCCTCAGCAGAAACAAATCAACTTAATTAAGGCTCACTTGGGAATTAACTGTTTCCTCTCTAAAAACCAGGTTCTAGGCAGGTATCCTATTCTAAAAGGTGAAATCAAATAGTAGAAGTTTTTAGAGAACTTGATCATAAAGGGCCATTCTCTTTTAGCTGAGTAAAATGCATATATATAAACATACAGCCACTAGTGTGTGATTTAAAAATAATTCCTTTATTCATTGGCTAGTAAAACATTCTTTGAAGCCATTGCTCATCTTTTCAAAAAAAAAAATATCAAAATGGTTCAGTTAAAGCCACTTAACCATTTGGAATATTACATTAAGTCAAGTCCTTGGGCCTTAACCCTCTAAATCAGTGAGATCCCTGGGTTAGCACTCTAGAGACTAATGGGGCCTGCACACTTTCCAGGCCGTTTCTTCCGCCAGACAGCATGACAAGGAAGTGAACGCATTTTTCCATCAAGAGCAGCTGCTGCTTTGATCTCATCAGCGTGCAGAATACCTTCCTGCCTCTGAAACCCTCCTGGTTTAGGATGGGCTGGCAGAGATGTTGGTTTGCTGCTCTCTACAGCCTGCAGTCAGTGAGCTTCAGTTAGTTTGAGGAAAAGGGGATGAATTCTTAGGGATCTGAAAAGAAATGAAACGAGTTAATGCCAGGATAAGCTGGGAGTGGGGTAAAGGGAATGACTGTGTTGGTGCACAGTGGTTTAAGCTGCTGCTTGGGAGACCCGCATCCCATACTGGATTGCACAGGAACGGGTTCCTGCTTCTACTTCCTGCTAATGTGCCTGGGAGGCAGCTGATGATGACTTAGGTATTTCTGTCTGCCACCCATGTGGGAGACCCAGATGGAGTCCTGGCTCCTGGCTCAGCCTGGCCTAGCTCTGGCTATGTGGGCATTTAGAGAGTGAAATTAGCAGATGGAAGATCTCTCCCTCTCTAATTCTCTGCCTCTCAAATACATACATACATAAAATAAAATAAAAAAAAAAAAGGAAATGTGAACATCAGCCTTCCATTCAGAAATCCACAGCACTTAGGATATGGAAAGATGCCCACTATATATTGTTGCTTGAAAATAGAATTAATAACACATTCAGTACAGCTTGTTCTAGTTTTGTAAAAACAATTCTAGTTAAATGTTAAATTTTCACTATCTCAGTGGTGGGGTTATATATATTTTTTTCCTTTTAAAGATTTATCTTATTTATTTGAAAGACAAAGTTACAGAGAGAGGTAGGGACGGAGAAACAGAGAGGTCTTCCACCTGCTGGTTCACTCCCAGATCTGAAGCCAGGAGCCAGGAGCTGCTTCTGGGTCTCCCTTTTGGGTGCAGGGGCCCAAAGACTTGGGCCATCCTCCACTGCTCTCCCAGGAGCATCAGCAGGGATACTGGAGTGGAGTGGAGCAGCTGGGACTCAAACCAGTGCCCATATGGAATGTAGACATTGCAGGCCAGGACTTTAACCCGTTGTGCCACAGTGCCGGCCCCTATTACCTTATTTTTCTATGTCATTTTTTAAAGATTTATTTGAAATTGAAAGACAGAGAGAGAAGGGAGGTGGGGAGAATCTTCACTGGTTCTTTCTCCAAATGGCCACAATGGCTGGGGCTGGAACAGGTCAAGGGCCTGAGTACTTGGGCCATCTTCTGCTTACCTAGGCACATTAGCAGGGAGCTAGATCAGAAGTGGAACAGCTGGGACTTGAATTGGCGTCCATATGGGATGCCATCACTGCAGGTGGAGGCTTAATGTTTTATGCCATGGCACCAGTCCCCATCTAAACGTTCTAGAATAAATTTGTATTATTCAAGGAATATGGAATTTAGTTTAGAAGTACATTATTGGAGCCGGCGCCGTGGCTCAATAGGCTAATCCTCCACCTTGCGGCGCCGGCACACCGGGTTCTAGTCCCGGTTGGGGCGCCGGATTCTGTCCCGGTTGCCCCTCTTCCAGGCCAGCTCTCTGCTATGGCCAGGGAGTGCAGTGGAGGATGGCCCAGGTGCTTGGGCCCTGCACCCCATGGGAGACCAGGAAAAAGCACCTGGCTCCTGGCTCCTGCCAGGATCAGCGCGGTGCGCCGGCTGCAGCGGCGGCCATTGGAGGGTGAACCAACGGCAAAAGGAAGACCTTTCTCTCTCTGTCTCTCTCTCTCACTGTCCACTCTGCCTGTCGAAATAAAGAAAAAAAAAAAAAAAGAAGTACATTATTAAGTGGTTGTGCAGCAAGAGTTTCTTGGGTGCCAGCAGGTGCTTTCCCAGGCACATTACCAGGGAGCTGGATTGGAAGTGGAACAGCCAGGACTCAGAGCTCACAGGATACTGGCATTCCAGGTGGTGGCCTAACCTGATGTGCCACAGTGCCAGCCCCTTTAAATATTTTAATCTACAAGTATAATCACATTAAAATATTAGAGGAAAAAAAGCAGTGATGGGAGGATAATTTTTTCAACTCAGATATAACCTTGTAAACAGTGATGTGCCAGTTTTTTTTTCTCAGCATTAAAAATTTTTTTAGTTTGATTTGAAAGGCAGAGTGGCAGGGAGAGATCTTCATCTGCTGGTTCACTCCTCAAATTCCCACAACAGCTGAGGCTGGGCAGCCTGAAGCCATGGGCCAGGAACTCCATCCAGGGCTCCCAGGTGGGTAGCAGTGACCCAAGTACTTGAGCTGTGATTTGTTGTCTCCCAGAGTGTGCATAAGCAGGAAGCTAGACTGGAAGTGGAGAAGTAGAGACAGCATTTGATTACAGGCACTCCCCACCACAAGGCCAATGCCACCCCTCCTCAAAAGTTAAACACAGTTACCATTTGATCCAACAATTCCTCAACTAGATATATACTCAGCAAGTAAAAACATTTCTAGGGGCAGGCACTGTGGCTTAGCAGGCAAAGCCTCTGCCTATGGTGCCGGCATCTCATATGGGCTCCAGTTCTAGTCCTGGCTGTTCTTCTTTCCATCCAGCTCTCTGCTATGGCCTGGGAAAGCAGCAGAAGATGCCCAAGTGCTTGAGCCCCTGCACCGACATGGGAGGCCAGGAAGAAGCTCCTGGCTCCTGGCTTTGGATCAGCCCAGCTCTGGCCATTGTGTCCATTTGCAGAGTGAACCAGCAGATGGAAGACCTTTCTCTCTGTCTCTCCCTCTCTCTGTAACTCTACCTCTCAGATAAGTAAATAAATCTTTTTTTAAAAAAGTCTTTCTACACAAAAACTTGTACTGTTCATTACTGCCCACTTCACTATAGCAATTGACAGCTTCTTTTCCCAGGCTGTGAGGTTAAACCTGTAACCAGAGTACAGCTGCCCAGGGAGAACACACATGTCAGAGCTCTCTAGATCAGGAAAAGATAAACAAAATGGGGAACCTCTAGAACTCCCCATCCTGCAAAAGTGGCAGTTACCCTTCTGACCAAATCAGTTTCTGCAAAGATGTGCAAAGCAACATTACTCTAATAGCCCATAAGTGGAAACATTGCAACTATCCATTAACTGATGGATGTATAAGATGGTGTGCCCACACAGTGGACTGTGCAATCATAAAAAGGAATGCAGCACTCAAACATGCTAAAATATGGATGAACCTTGACTACATTATGCTAAGTGAAGAAACTAGACACAGGGGCACATGCTGTATCAATGTCCAGAAAGATGAGTTGTCCCAGGGGCTGGGGAAAAGGGCATGACTGCTGCTGGGTGCAAGCTTTCTCCCTGGGATGATGAAAATGTTCTCCATTTAGATGGCACTGATCAGTGCTCAACTTTGTGAGTGTAATAAAAACTAGTCAATTGTATACATTTAAAGGATAAACTTATGGTATGTGAATTCTGCTTCTATAGAGCTGTTATTTTAAAAAACAGAGGAAAAGCAATGGCAGATTCTAGACCATTTAGTGTTTTAAATATCCATGTGCCAAGAATTTGAAAACCAGAGTCTTTTGTACACTATAGCTTAATATATATTAAGAAATCAGTTTTCATTCAGAGTGGCCATACATCAAAAGCTTAGGGCCTTCTCTGTTTTGTCAGTGTACCTTCCTACTCTTAGTCACGTGGTAACTAGGACCTGAGAAGGCACCTACCTTTGGCAGCAGATTCAAGTTGAAAGGCCCAGTTTCTGGATCAGGAACATCAGGCTGTGGTCAGTGTGGGTCTATTAAAGGCAGCAACTGTCCACAACGAGCATTCAGCTTCAGACATGCCAAGTCATCTGACCGTGTGGGCCCAATGTTCAGTATTGCAATTGGCAGTTTCTTGTCTCGGGCTGTGAGGACAAACCTGTAACCAGAGTACACCTGCCCCGGGGAGAAGATTTATGTAAGAGATCTATACGTGAAAAAAGACAAACCAAACAGGGAACCTCTAGGACTTCCCACCCCACCTAAAGGACCAAGTCCATTACCTGCAAGGATGATCCCACCACCAAGAGGGCATCAGCCTCTTTTACACGTCTGTGCACAAAATCAACTTTGTCAGGGTTTACTGTGTCCCCAAAGAAAACAACATCTGGTTTCAGAGGGCCTCCACATCGGATGCAGGCTGGGACCTGGAAGCTTTGCACCTGCTCCTCAGAGAGAAAGACGTCACCGTCAGGAGCCAGGCCGTGGACCTCAGCACTCCAGTGGGGATTCAGGGCTTTGAAGCGCTCCTGCAGCAGCCCCCGGGGAGTCTGCTCACCACAATCCAAGCAGAGGACCCTAAAACCAAAGAAGAGCCAGCTAACAGGTTGTCCTGGAAACCATGCAGTACCCAAGACGTTTCACCCCAACCATTTCTCAGTTCCTCCATCACTGCTTGCTTTTCCTCACACTCACAGTTTCCCTGTTATTGTTTATTTATTTATTTTTATTTATTCTTTGAAATGAAGAGTTACAGACAGACAGAGGGAGAGGCAGAGAGAAAGGTCTTCCATCCACTGGTCCATTCCCCAAATGGCTGCAATGGCTGGAGCTGGGCTTTAAAAAAGCCAGGAGTCTGGAGCTTCCAGGTCTCCCATGTGGGTGCAGGGGCCCAAGGACTTGGGCCATCTTCTACTGCTTTCCCAGGCCATGGCAGAGAGCTGGTTCAGAAGAGGAGCAGCTGGGAGTAGAACCGGCGCCTATACAAGATGCAGGAGCTGCAGGCGGAGGATTAACCTACTGCACCACCTCCCATTGGCAGTGCTCCCGCCCCATTGTTATTTAATTTTTACTATGTGAAAGGCAGAGAGAGGACAAAAAAGAGATCTCCCATTCACTGTTTCATTTCCAAAATGCCCATAACAGAGCTAGGGCCAGGCTGAAGCCAAGAGCCAGGAACTACCATGTGTAGGTCTACCTTGTGGGGGGTAGGGGCCCAACTACTAGAGCCTCAGGAGGCACAGCAGCAGGGATCACGTGGAGCCAGGGGGCTGCACTGCGGTGCAGTGCGCTAAACGTCTGCTGCAGGGCAAGACTCCCAGATGGGCACCACTTCGAGTCCCACTCTCCTCTTCCCACCCAGCTTTCTGTTGTGGTCTGGGAAAGCAGCAGCAGATGGCCCAAGTGCTTGGGCCCCTGCACCCACGTGGGAGACCCAGAGGAAGCTCCTGGCTCTTGGCTGCAGATTGGCTCAGCTCTGGCTGTTGTGGTCATCTGGGGAGTGAACCAGCTTTCTCTCTGTCCCCCTCTCCCATAATTCTACCTCTCAAGTAAATAAATAAATAAATAAATCTCAAAAAAAGAGTGGAGCCAGGACTCAAACCCAGGCACTCTGACATGGGATACAGGCGTCCCAAGTGGTGTCTGAACCACAAATGCCTGTACTTCCCCACTATTTTAAGCATACTTTTTCAGGATCTATTTAGCTTACTGGCCTGTTTCTCACCTTCCTTCCACTGCCAACTTTGTAGAATAAGTAATGTCTATTTCCTTATTACATACTCTCACTTTCAGCTAACTCACATTTGTCCTGAACATGATTTAAATGCTTTACCAAGTGATCTCCTTGATACCAAAAACCAGTGCTCCCCCCCACCCCCTTTAGTCTTTGATCTGTTCATTTGCTGTGATTGTTGCTGTCACCATCCTCTACTGGCTGTACAAGAGGGAGAGAGACCAGAAGAGACAACTTGCTACTGTGTTTCCCGCCCTGTAGTGCCCTGCACCAACCACCAGGGAAGTCTGCCAGCAGGAAGACCATCACCATACGTGGGCCCTCAACCTTGGATCTCATGAGCTGAAATAAACCCCCTTTTTTTTTTTTTTTTTTGACAGGCAGAGTGGACAGTGAGAGAGAGAGACAGAGAGAAAGGTCTTCCTTTACCGTTGGTTCACCCCTCAATGGCCACTGTGACTGGCACGCTGCGGCTGGCGCACTGCGCTTATCCGAAGCCAAGAGCCAGGTGCTTCTCCTGGTCTCCCATGTGGGTGCAGGGCCCAAGGACTTGGGCCATCCTCCACTGCACTCCCTGGCCACAGCAGAGAGCTGGCCTGGAAGAGGGGCAACCGGGACAGAATCTGGCACCCCGACTGGGACTAGAACCCGGGGTGTCGGTGCCACAGGCGGAGGATTAGCCTAGTGAGCCGCAGCGCCAGCCTAAACCCCTTTTCTTAACAACTCACAGGTCTCTGTATTTTGTTATTGGCAACAACAACAAAAAGACCAATCCAGAAAGTTATTTCTCACTGCCTCAGTGCTTGTGTAAGGGTTCCCTCTTGTATGACTGTCAAGCCCTAGTTCTATCTCCAGATCTTGACTGTCTTTCAAGCTTAGTCTCTACCTTCAAAATTCCCTCCCTAACTTCTTTATCTTCCAAAACCCTTGAGGGAAAAAATGTTCCTCATTTTTCTTTTAATCTTGTAAACCATCAGATTATGTTTATTTTTCTTCCTTAAAGGCCCCCTATTAAATGACAAGATGTCTTGAATTGTTTTAAAATGTTGAGGAAGAAACAGGGAGGGGCAGGCATTTGGCACAGGGATTGAGACACCACTTGGGAAGACCATATCCCATATCAGAATGACTGGGTTCAAGGCAGGCTTCACTCCTGATTCCAGCTTTCTGCTAATGCATACCCTAAGAGAAGCAAGTGATGGCTCAAGTACTTGGGTCCCTGCCACCCACAGGGAAACCTGTTGAGTTCCTGCCTCTTGGCTTTGGTCTGGCTGAGCCCTGGCTGTTGCAAGTATTTAGGGAATGAACCAGCAGATAGAACATCTCTCTTCCTCTCCCTCCTTTTCTCTCTCTGTCTTTGCCTTTCAAATAAATAAAAAAAAATTTGGAAAAAAATGTTTAAGAAGATTGAGGTGGAGAATGTCATGATTAAACCTTTGAATCTGGTTGAAGGCATATGGGCTTTTGTGAATTCTTGCAATGTTCATAAAAAAAAATTTCATGAGCCGCTAGCCATCATTAACTCTAATTCCTCCAACAGCACCTTAGCCTGACTCTTTCAGGCGGACCTCCCGACCCATTCTTTCTGGTCCCCTCCAGGCTTCCTCAAATGCCTTTTTTTTTTTTTTTTTTTTTTGACAGGCAGAGTGGACAGTGAGAGAGAGACAGAGACAGAGAGAAAGGTCTTCCTTTTGCCGTTGGTTCACCCTCCAATGGCCGCCGTGGCCAGTGTGCTGCAGCCGGCGCACCGCGCTGATCCGAAGCCAGGAGCCAGGTACTTATCCTGGTCTCCCATGGGGTGCAGGGCCCAAGCACTTGGGCCATCCTCCACTGCACTCCCTGGCCACAGCAGAGAGCTGGCCTGGAAGAGGGGCAACCGGGACAGAATCCGGCGCCCCAGCCGGGACTAGAACCCGGTGTGCCGGCGCCGCAAGGCAGAGGATTAGCCTAGTGAGCTGCGGCGCCGGCCCTCAAATGCTATATTTATCCTGCACTTTTCTTGCTCAGAAACTACTCACAGTCCCCTTTGATGTCTCCCAACAGACCCACACCGCACTGATTTTCAAATGCAACCACGATTCGGGCCTAGCCTTCCCAGACAGTTGGATTTCATACTCGTCCCCAGTCCACACCCTCCAGAGGTCAGGCCAGACTCATGCAGGCTCTACAGGCTCTGTTCATTTAGCTACACGGGTGGGGAGCCTTGGTTCTTCGAAGGGCCAGCTGGATAGTTATGACTTCATTCGTGAGCCATTCAGAATTATCAACTTAGAAATTAGCCTGCTGTATATTATTGAATTTCTCACCTGTGGTTGCCTTGGCAGGGCCAGACCAAATGATTCCCCACCATGAAAGCCCTCTTTTCCCCCTTAGCCCAATCACACTTGAGCCAGTTTCAAGCTTCCCTTTATCCATACAGGCTTTCTCAGTAACTCCAATCTTTACTAAGTCAGGTTCTTTGAACATACACAGCACATACAGCAAGGACCACAAAATATAACAACTGCATTGATTTGCTAATGTTAAACATGTTATTTCTGTGCCCTCCTGAAACATTACAAAGTTCCCACATATGAAGTAGACCACCTTTTTAAAACGATTATTTGAAAGGCAGAGACAAAGAGATCGTCCATCTGCTGGCTCACTCCCCAAATGGCTGCAATGACCACGGCTGAGCCAGGAGCCCAGAACTCTTATCCATGTGGGTAGCAGGAACTCTTTCCATGTGGGTACTTGAACCTTCTGCCTCCCAGGGTGTGCATTACCAGGAAGCTGTAGTGAAGGAGTATCTGGGACTTGAACCAGGCTCTCAGAGATGTGGGCATCCCAACTGGCTGTTTAACCCACTGTGCTAACATACTCCCAACCACATTTTATACTTTAATTGTGATCCCTGCGTAATAGCATACCAATATACACCATACATAAAACACCGTGTAACTGTTTTAGATTGGCAGACAGATTTCAGTCCTCAGAGCAGCATCTCTTGGGCCTAAAATGATTAAAAAAAAAAAGAAAAGAAAAGAAAAAGTGGCCTCCAGGATAGGGCATTTAGGGTCAGCATCCCATATCAATACCTGGGTTTAGGTCTCAGCTTTGCTCCCAATTCCAGCTTCTTACTCATAGTGCACCCTTGGAAAGCAGTTATGATCCCCTGGCTGTTGTGGGCATTTGGGAGTGAACCAGTGGGTGGGAGATCTCTCTGCTTTTCCAAATAAAAAAAATTTTTTTTTAATGCTCTCCTATTAGTTACAAGTCATTGCCAGGGATGCAGGCATGACACCCTGCCTATGTGTTCAGGTCATCTATATGTATGGAGTTCTGACTGCCTGCCAGAGGCCACACTGTGTTCTCTGTGTGGAGGCAGCAGACACCCTGCCATCTTAGCAGGTGCTGTTGGTGTTTTGCTCATATCCTCCTCAGTCTCCCTGGAAGTCAGCTGTACACAGTTTTCTTTGAAGCTTCCTCCACCTCCCTCACTTAGGATGCTCTCTAGATGCGGAAGCTTCCTTGGGAGAAGCACAATCAAAGTGTTACAGAACCAAGTTCCTAAGAGTGACCAATGAGAGATGGGAGGTGGTGGATTAATACCTCAGCTTCCTTGACTTCCAGGGAGAAAATTCCAGTGCAAATCCTGGACAGTCAGGAGCTGCCATGGTTTGGGTGTGGTTAGTACCCAAAGGGTTCCTGTGCTGGCAGGTAGGTCCCAGTGTGACAATGATGAGACCTTTAAGAGGTGGGGCCTAGGCCGGCGCCGCGGCTCACTAGGCTAATCCTCCGCCTAGCGGCGCCGGCACACCGGGTTCTAGTCCCGGTCGGGGCGCCGGATTCTGTCCCGGTTGCCCCTCTTCCAGGCCAGCCCTCTGCTGTGGCCAGGGAGTGCAGTGGAGGATGGCCCAGGTGCTTGGGCCCTGCACCCCATGGGAGACCAGGAAAAGCACCTGGCTCCTGGCTCCTGCCATCGGATCAGCGCGGTGCGCCGGCCGCAGCGCGCCGGCCGCGGCGGCCATTGGAGGGTGAACCAACGGCAAAGGAAGACCTTTCTCTCTGTCTCTCTCTCTCACTGTCCACTCTGCCTGTCAAAAAAAAAAAAAAAAAAAGAGGTGGGGCCTAGTGGGAGTTCATTACTGGGCCCTCCTTGTTCTTTGGCTTCCTGTCTGGTCCTGTGACTTCTTCGCACAAGCCCTCCTGCCATGACACCATCCACTGCTGGGCCCTCATCAGAGGCTAAACCAAGGGGGCCACAGGTCTTGGACATTCAGCCTCTGAAATTATAAACTAAATTAGCATCTTTTTAATAAGACAGGCAGGGGCCAGTGCCATGGCGTAGCGGGTAAAGCCACTGCCTGCGGTGCCGGCATCCCATATGAGTGCCAGTTCAAGTCTCAGCTGCTCTACTTCCGATCTAGCTCTCTGCTATGGCCTAGGAAAGCAGTAGAGGATGGCCCAAGTCCTTGAGCCCCTGCACCTGCGTGGGAGACCCAGAAGAAGCTCCTAGCTCCTGGGCCCAGCTCCGCCTGTTGTGGCCATTTGGGCAGTGAACCAGCCAATAGAAGACCTTTCTCTCTCTGATTTGCCTCTGCCTCTCTGTAACTCTGCCTTTCCAATAAATAAACAAATCTTAAAAAAAAAAAAAAAAAAAAAAAAAAGAGAGAGAGAGAGAGAGAGAAAGGCAGAGTGACAGAGAGCAAGTGCGTTTCACTTGCTGGTTCACTCCCCAAAGGCCCATAATGGCCAGGGTTGGGTCAAGCCAAAGCCAGAAGCCATGAACTCAATCCATGTCTCCTATATGAGTGGCATGCACTCAAGTATTTGAGCCATCATCTGCTGCCTCTGACAGTGAGCATTTGCAGAAACTTGGATTGGAAGCAGAGGCAGGACTCCATCCCAGACATTTCGAAATGAGATATGGGTGACCCAAGCAGCAACTTTTTTTTTTTTTTTAATTTTTCTTTTTAATTTTTATTTTTTTTTGACAGGCAGAGTGGACAGTGAGAGAGAGAGAGAGAGAGAGACAGAGAGAAAGGTCTTCCTTTTTTGCCGTTGGTTCACCCTCCAATGGCCGCCATAGCCGGCGCGCTGCGGCCAGCGCACCGCACTGATCTGAAGGCAGGAGCCAGGTACTTATCTTGGTCTCCCATGGGGTGCAGGGCCCAAGCACTTGGGCCATCCTCCACTGCACTCCCTGGCCACAGCAGAGAGCTGGCCTGGAAGAGGGGCAACCGGGACAGAATCCGGTGCCCCGACCGGGACTAGAACCCGGTGTGCCAGCATCGCAAGGCGGAGGATTAGCCTAGTGAGCCGCGGCACCGGCCCCAAGCGGCAACCTAATCCACTGTGCCACACACAGACCCCAGCTTCTTTCTTCATAAGTGACTCAACTGCAGGTATCTTGTTTCATTAACAGAAAAGGGACTAAAACAGGGTCACTCACAGGATTGAGCGTCAGCTCCCCAAAGCAGCAGCTCACTCATAAATGCACTCTTTCTAGGTTTTTTTTTTTTTCCCTTCCCTGTTCTGTTTCCAATCCTTGAGTTTACTGGCATCAACTCCAAAAACACAACTTGCCCCCAAATCTCTCTCAAGGTCAAACCAAGACAACCATGACCAAGACAGCCAAGGTCCCTTGCTCTTGTGAAACAACAGGCATCTTTGTGTTCAAGCAATTCAGACCATCCTGCACCTGTGCATGCATCCATGGAGCTCAGTCAGGCGCTGACTCCCTGCCTTGGTGTGCAAGGCATCCACGTTTTGGGTCACCAACCAGTGCAGCTTTCCAAGTTTCTCCCACTTGTTCAGAGCCCAGTGTGCAGGGTTCGGCTGGTGGGAGGAAAACTGAGGCCAGCCCACAAAGTTTCTCGCCCAGTACCGCTGGCGGATAGGAGCACTCCGTACAAAGTCGCTATGCTGGATAGGCCTCCGGTCAGTGCGTGCATAAAGTCCCACTTTCTCTGACCTGTAGTCTGGAATCCCCGACTCGGTGGAGATTCCTGCCCCAGTCATCACGAGGACTCTCTTGGAAAGAGTGATGAAGCGCTGTAACTCTTTGACCTTTTCAGGATCCAGAGGAGGACTTGGTGGCACAAATAACTCAACGGATCCATGTGAGCACTGCCGGCTGAGGTTGGGGATCCAATGGCCTTTTCCTGACCTGAAAGTCAACCCACGGCTCATTCGCATTCTAAAGAAAAAGAAATCTCATGTGAGAAACTAGTTTCATATATATATATATATATATATATATATATATATATATTTTTTTTTTTTTTTTTTTTTTTTGACAGGCAGAGTGGACAGTGAGAGAGAGAGAGAGAGAGAAAGGTCTTCCTTTGCCGTTGGTTCACCCTCCAATGGCCACTGCGGCTGGCGCACCATGCCTATCCAAAGGCAGGAGCCAGGTGCTTCTCCTGGTCTCCCATGGGGTGCAGGGCCCAAGCACCTGGGCCATCCTCCACTGCACTCCCTGGCCACAGCAGAGAGCTGGCTTGGAAGAGAGGCAACCGGGACAGAATCCGGTGCCCGGCCGGGACTAGAACCTGGTGTGCTGGCGCCACAAGGCGGAGGATTAGCCTACTGAGCCGTGGCGCCGGCCCAGTTTCATTTTTTTTTTTTTTTTTTTGATAGGCAGAGTGGACAGTGAGAGAGAGAGAGACAGAGAGAGAAAGGTCTTCCTTTGCTGTTGGTTCACCCTCCAATGGCCGCCGCTGCAGCCGGCGCACCACGCTGATCCGATGGCAGGAGCCAGGATCCAGGTGCTTTTCCTGGTCTCCCATGGGGTGCAGGGCCCAAGCACCTGGGCCATCCTCCACTGCACTCCCTGGCCATAGCAGAGAGCGGCCTGGAAGAGGGGCAACCGGGACAGAATCCGGCGCCCCGACCGGGACTAGAACCCGGTGTGCCGGCGCCGCAAGGTGGAGGATTAGCCTATTGACAGTTTCATATATTTTTAAAAAAAGATTTACTGAGGGGCTGGTGCTGTGGCACAGTAGGTTAATCCTCCACCTGCAGCGCCAGCATCCCATATCGTTGCTAGTTCTAGACCCAGCTGCTCCTCTTCTGATCCAGCTCTCTGCTAGCCTGAGAAAGCAGTAGAGGATGGCCCAAGTCCTTGGACCCCTGCACCCATGTGGGACACCCAGAAGAAGCTCCTGGCTCCTGGCTTTGGATCGGCTCAGCTCTGGCTGTTGCAGCCATTTGGGGAGTGAACCAGCAGATGGAAGACCTTTCTCTCTGTCTCTCCCTCTCATTGTCTGTAACTCTACCTCTCAAATAAATAAACAAAATCTTAAAAAAAAAAAAAAAAAAAGATTTACTGATGTGAAAGGCAGAGAGGCAGAGCATTAGAGAGAATTTCCATCTACTGGTTCACTCCACAAAGGCTACAACAGCCAAGTGTGGGCCAGACCGAAACCAGGAGTCAGGAACTCCATCCTGTTCTCCCACATGAAGCAGGGGCCCATGTACTTGGGCCATCAGTCCATTGCCTTCCCAGATACATTAGCAGGGAGCTGGATCAGAAGCAGAACAGCCAGGACTTGAACCGTGTTTTGATAAGGTATTCTGACACTGGAAGTGGTGTTTTAACACACTATGCCACAGTGTCAGTCCCAGAAACTGGTTTTAAAAGCAAAGGTAACCAGCAATAGATGAAAGGGTAGACACATTGTGGTCTATCCACACAATGGAATATTATCCAGCTGTAAAAATGAACTTCTGTTACATGCTATAACACAGATAAACACCAAATACATTTTGCTAAGTGTTAGAAGTCAGTCATGGCCAGCGCTGCAGTTGCGACTCACTAGGCTAATCCTCCACCTAGCGGCACTGGCACACCGGGTTCTAGTCGCAGTCGGGGCGCCGGATTCTGTCCCGGTTGCCCCCCTTGTCAAAAAAAAAAAAAAAAAAAGAAGTCAGTCACAAAATTACAAATTTAATTCCACTTCTGTGAAACATACACAATAAAGGGAAGGTAAGTGCTTTGGATCAAGTCCCCGCTCTGCTCCTGATTCCAGCTTCCTGCTAATGCACACCCTGGGAGGCAGCAGGTGATGGCCCATGTGGTTGGGTCCCTGCTACCCCCATGGGAGGCCCAGACTGAGTTGGCCCAGCCCAGACCTAGCTATTGTTTGCATTTGGGGAGTGAACCCACACTGGAGTGCACAGATTTGATACCTGGCTCTGGCTCCTGATTCTAGCCTCTCACTAATACTCACCCTGAAAGGCAGTGCTGATGGCTCAAGTAATTGGTTGGCTTCTAGTCACCCACATGGGAAACCTGCATTGATTTCCCAGCTCCCAGCTGTCTTCCAACCCCCACTGTTGTTGGGGACATTTAGGAGTGAACCAGCAGATGGGAGTGTGGTCTCTCTCTCTCCACCTCTCAAAATAAATAAGGAAGTTTAAAAATGACATTTAAAAGACAACTGGAAAATTGAACATTAACTGGATATTAATATTAATAAATTACTGTTTTTAAAATGTCTAACAAATGGTATTATGATTCTTAAAAAAAATGTCCTCATTCTATGGAGTAACATGCTGCAGTTTTGGATGAAATGATGTATATGGAAGGACTTCTTTCAAAATAATATAAGGAGTATGGGGAACAAAGTAGTTAGGAATACACAAATGGGGGCCGGTGCTGTGGTTTAGTGGGTAAAGCCGCAGCCTGCAGTGCTGGCATCCCACATGGGCGCCGGTTCGTGTCCCAGCTGCTCTACTTCCAATCCAACCCTCTGCTATGGCCTGGGAAAGCAGTAGAAGATGGCCCAAGTCCTTGGGCCCCTACACCCATGTGGGAGACCCAGAAGAAGCTCCTGGCTCCCAGCTTTGGATCAGCGCAGCTCCGGCCATTGCAGTCAATTGCAGAGTGAACCAGCAGATGGAAGACCGACCTCTCTGCCTCTCCTTCTCTGTGTAACTCTTTCAAATAAATAAATTAATTTTAAAAAAGGAATATACAAATGGAAAAGATTAAGCAAGAAACATTCATTGTTGACACTGGGTGATGGGTTCATGGCTGGGACTACAAAACAATTTTTAAAACATTAAAAAGGGGGCCGGCGCCGCGGCTCACTAGGCTAATCCTCCGCCTTGCGGCACCGGCACACCGGGTTCTAGTCCCGGTCGGGGCGCCGGATTCTGTCCCGGTTGCCCCTCTTCCAGGCCAGCTCTCTGCTGTGGCCAGGGAGTGCAGTGGAGGATGGCCCAGGTGCTTGGGCCCTGCACCCCATGGGAGACCAGGAAAAGCACCTGGCTCCTGGCTCCTGCCATCGGATCAGCGCGGTGCGCCGGCCGCGGCGGCCATTGGAGGGTGAACCAACGGCAATGGAAGACCTTTCTCTCTGTCTCTCTCTCTCACTGTCCACTCTGCCTGTCAAAAAAATAAAAAAAAAAAAAAAAACATTAAAAAGTAATTTCTTCGCAGTGGGCATTTATCCTAGTGTCCCTGTCCCCATTTATCTGCATGTCCCTGTCAGAGTATCTGAGTTCAATGCTCAGCTCTGGCTCCTGACTGGCTTCCTTCTAATGCAGACCCTGGGAGGCAGCAGTGATGGTTTACGTGGCTGGGCTCGTATCACCCACATGGGACGCCTAGATTGCATCTCCAGCTTCTGGCTTTAGCCTCAGAGCCCAGCTCCAGCCATTGTGGGCATTTGGAAGGTGAAATGACGGATGGGAGCACTCGCTCTGCCTCTCAGAGGCATATGTACACTGAAGATGCCCTGGGGTACCCAGAGACTGGAAGGTCAGAAAGGCCAAAACCATGAGATGAAAAAAAATGCTTTGAATTTTAGCAGCTTAAGAGATAATACATGATAATAAAGTAAGAAGACAAAAAGAAAAGAATGGGAATAAGTTTAAAGAGAAGCAAAAGCATGGAATGTTTTATCCCAAAGGTATACAGAATCCCAATATCTAGACATATCAGTAGCCATACAGTATTTGGAAAAGACATATTTGAAATTAAATGTACAAAGTAAGCTAGGGCAAGTGACTTCTGAGTGTAGCTCCTTCATGTTGCCCTACATCTAAACAAAAGTAAGAAGCGAGGTCACATACTTATCAACAGTACAGAGAGAAACATGGACTAGATCTAAAAAATATACACAGGCCGGCGCCGCGGCTCATTAGGCTAATCCTCCGCCTGTGGCGCTGGCACACTAGGTTCTAGTCCTGGTCGTGCAGCCGGATTCTGTCCCGGTTGCCCCTCTTCCAGGCCAGCTCTCTGCTGTGGCCCGGGAGTGCAGTGGAGGATGGCCCAAGTGCTTGGGCCCTGCACCTGCATGGGAGACCAGGAGAAGCACCTGGCTCCTGGCTCCTGCCATCGGATCAGCGCAGTGTGCCGGCCGCAGCGCGCCAGCCGCGGCGGCCATTGGAGTCTCTTTCTCTCTGTCTCTCTCTCTCACTGTCCACTCTGCCTGTCAAAAAATAAAAAAATAATAAAAAAAAAAAAAAGAAAAAAAAAATCTAACTCAAGAATGTATCGAGGAACCAGCGCTGTAACATAGCAGGTAAAGTCTCCACCTATAGTGCTGGCATCCCATATGGCTCCAATTCGAGTCCCGGCTGTCCTCCTCCGATCCAGTTCCCTGTTAATGTGCCTAGGATAGCAGTGGAAGATGGCCCAAGTCCCTGGACCCCTGCACCCATGTGGGAGACCTGGAAGAAGCTCCAAGCTGCTGGCCTCCGACTGGTCCAGCTCCACTACTGCAGCCATTTGGGGAGTGAACGGATGGAGGACTTCTCTTTCTCTGCCTCTCCCTCTGTGTAACACTTTCAAATGAATAAATAAATCTTTAAAAAGAATTCATAGAAAATAACCATGGCCAATTTCAGGCTACAGGCCACCAATGGCTATTGAATTTGTGAGCATTTAACTGGCTGTCCCCCAGTACAGACTGATTCCAGCACACCCTCACCCTTCTGGATCCTATAAGTTCAACCTGAAATAACAAACCCACCTTTTTAAAAATTATTATTATTGTCATTATCTTTTGAATCCTTCGTTTTTGGTCAAGAATCTCCAATACCTTCCACACAATGAAATCTTGCTTACACACTGGACTATAAGCCAATCTTCCAGAGCTCTTAAGAACCTGTGCCAGGCCGGCGCCGTGGCTCACTTGGTTAATCCTACACCTGGGGTGCCGGCATCCCACATGGGCGCCGGGTTCTAGTCCCAGTTGCCCCTCTTCCAGTCCAGCTCTCTTCTGTGGCCCGGGAAGGCAGTGGAGGATGGCCCAAGTGCTTGGGCCCTATACCCGCATGGGAGACCAGGAGGAAGCACCTGGCTCCTGGCTTCGGATCGGCGCAGCACCGGCTGTGATGGCCATTTGGGGAGTGAACCAATGGAACAAAGACCTTTCTCTCTGTCTATAACTCTTGTCAAAAAAAAAAAAAAAAAAAAAAAGACCCTGTGCCAGAATTGTACCTTGCCACATCCCTCAAGTGGAAATTAGCTTCAAATGGCTGGGAATCCGAGTAGCCACGGGAAACTATATTTTGGTTATAAACAGGGGAGGGGGGCGATGTAAGGAAGAAAATAATTGATGTCAGATGAGTTCCCTGTTAACGGCTCATCCCAGGACCCTTTGCATTGCTCTATCACGACTACGTCTCAAGATGTATTCGTGCAGTAACACATCCCTGCGGGGTGGAGGTGCGGTCCTATACAAGCCCCCTTCCTAAATTCGTAAACGAAAGTGCCCACATTTCTCCACAAGTACGAGCAGCGCATTTGTTACGTCTGGATTCCATGCGGGCCATTAAGCCCACAGACACCCCATCCTTCATCTTCTTCCACCTTGTTTCTCGCTCAGCCCTCACCGCAGACCCCGCTTCAGACTCGGCGCGGAGACGAGCGCCCCGCGCGCGGGCTTCCGCAGCCGTGAAAACCAGGCTGCACGCACGGTCCGGCCTCCCTCGGACACTCCTCAGCGACACCCGAGCCACCAAGCGCACCAGAGCCCGGCGCCCCGAGACCCACGGGCCGAGGAAACCTGCGGACCGCACACAACACACTCACCTTCCACAGCTGCTCTTCGGACAGCGGGACGGCCAGGCTAGATGGTGCATTCTGGGAAGTGTAGTTCACCAGGCTGAAGTGACACCAGAAAAACTACAAGCCCCACAATCCTTTGGGCCTCGCCACTGAGGGACTCGCTCGTCCAGGAGCGCCCCCTGTCGACCCTTCCTGGTAAGAGTCTGAACCTTGGTTCCTGAGGCCCGGCTCACTCCTGAGGTAGCGTTGGATGTTTGTCTCCCCTTTCAGACCGACTCCGCGACGTGGCTGGGGGTCCAACAACGAGAAACGGCTTAGGCACACGGGACTGAAGCAGAGCTGCTGGAGCGGCGGCGTCCCACGTCCGCGGGCGCGAGGAAAGTTACTCACCGTCACTGTGAAGGCTGTTGGCGTCCCTGGGACGGCGGGGTGGGCGGCCCGTCTCTTCAGCTTTGCGCAGTGGCAGTATCGTAGCCAATGAGGTTTATCCGAGGCGCGATTATTGCTAATTGAAAACTTTTCCCAATACCCCGCCGTGACGACTTGAAATATAGTCGGCATTGGCAATTTTTGACAGTCCCCTACGGGGACTGGATATACTTGGTCAAAAACTAGAGAAGCATGTTGTTACTGTTTGTTCTGTGTCTGCTTTTAGGGTTGTTTTTGTAGGTATCTACGCAGCTCGCTGGTGGACTAAGAATTGGTTTAATTGTTTTCCAGTTCTAGGTGGACCGAAGTTCTCTTTGTGTTGGTCTGCCCTAACCCCGGTTTCTCGTAGTCTTGATTATTAGGAAGAGCAGGCGGCTCACCAGAGGGCCGGTGACTAAGGTGGTAGCAGCAGTACCCACAGTCCAAAAACAGCAGTGGGCAGGATGGCCCCAGGGGTAAGTTAGACCCAGCCCTTGCTTCAGAGTTCCCAGCCCAGAGAGATGACTACCAAGCAAACAGATGGAGTTCCTGGTTCCAGGCCATTGTTTCCATTCAGGGGGTGAACAGCTAGATGGGAGATGGGAGATGAAATGTCAATTAAAATAAAATTAATTTTAATTGAAAATTTAAAAATAAAAATCTAGATCAGTTTTCTTTTTTTTCCCCCTTCACAACACTGATATTCTGAAAAGGTCAAGAAATGCAGATTGTCCCACATTCTAGCTTCATCTAATTGCATTTTTAAGATTTATTTATTTGGAAGGCAGAATTACAGAAATAGAGATCTTCCATCTGCTAGTTCACTCTCCAAATGGCCAAAACAGCCAGAGCTGGGCTGGCCCAAAGCCAGGAGCTTCTTCAGGGTCTCCCATGCGGGTTGCAGGGGCCCAAGTCAGACCTTTCTCTCTGTCTCTCCTTCTGTCTGTAACTCTACTTCTCAAATAAATAAAATAAAAACATTTTTAAAAAATCAAAATATATATATTAAAAATTTTTAAACTTTTAATACTTGTTTATTTGAAAGGCAGAGAGACAGTAAGACAGAGATTTTCTACTCCCCAAATGGCCACAATAGCCAGGGCTGGGCCAGGCGAAAGCCAGGAGCCAGGAACTCCATCCAGGTCTCCCATGCAGGTGGCAGGGACCCAAGTCCTTGTGGCATCACCTGCTGCCTCCCAGAGAGCACGTTGGCAGGAAGCTGGAATCAGAAACAGAGCTGGGGCCCAAAGTGCAGCTGGGACTCTACCCCAGGCACTCTGAAATGGGATGCAGACGTCCTAAGTGGTGGCTTAACCACTGCACCAAACTCCTGTCCCTGTTAGTGTTTTAGAGGGTAATCCTGTGGCGATTTGGCTCCACCTACCCTTTCACAGCGAACTGAAGCCCAGAGGAGGAATATGGTTGTTTGACTGCTAGGTTGTTTGACTGCTAGTCCTCTTGTTTATGTAGGGAGGTGAATATTGGTAAATGACTCAACGCAGCAGTTCGGGAACAGTAGCTCCAAGCAGCAGTTGGGACAAGTCAGGATCCATAGCATAGGCTGATACACATTTCTGCTCTAGTTACCCTGACCACATTGGCTGAAAGGACAAAATGGTAGTCAAAAAACTGATGGCATTTTCAGTTCTCATCAGTATTTGATAAAAACCCATGAGAGGGGCCGGCGCTGTGGCGTAGCAGGTAAAGCCACCAGCCTGCAGTGTCAGCATCCCATATGGACGCCAGTTCGAGTCCCAGCTGCTCCACCTCTGATCCAGCTCTCTGCTGTGGCCTGGGAAAGCAGTGGAAGATGGCCCAAGTCCTTGGGCCCCTGCATGCATGTGGGAGACCCAGAAGAAGCTCCTGGCTTCGGATTGGCGCAACTCTGGTCATTGCTGCCACTTGGGGAGTGAACCAACAGATGAAAGAACTCTGTTTCTCTCTCCCTCTCCCCCTCTTCCTCTCTCCCTCTCCCTCTCCCTCTCTGCCTCTCCCTCTCTCCCTCTCTGCCTCTCCCTCTCTCTCTCCTTTTTTTTTTTTTTAAATTTAGTTATTTATTTTATTTTTAACAGGCATAGTGGACAGTGAGAGAGAGAGAGACAGAGAGAAAGGTCTTCCTTTTTGCAGTTGGGTCACCCTCCAATGGCCGCCACGGCTGCTGCGCTGTGGCCGGCGCATCGCGCTGATCTGAAGGCAGGATCCAGGTGCTTTTCCTGGTCTCCCATGTGGGTGCAGAGCCCAAGCACTTGGGCCATCCTCCACTGCACTCCCGGGGCATAGCAGAGAGCTGGCCTGGAAGAGGAGCAATCGGGACAGAATCCGGCGCCCCGACTGGGACTAGAACCCAGTGTGCCAGTGCCGCAAGGTGGAGGATTAGCCTATTGAGCCGCGGCGCCGGCCTCTCTCTCCTTTCTTGCTCTCTCTGTAATTCAAATAAATATTTAGGGAAAAAAAAAACACACACACACAAGAACATCAAAACATTGACATTCTCCTCCCCAATCCATTTTAATTAATTTTTTTTCATTTATTTACTTGAAAGGTAGAGGAAGGGAGAGTTAGAGATCTTCCGTCTGCTGCTTCACTCTCCAAATGGCCACAACGCTGGGGCTGGACCAGGCCCAAGTCAGGAGCCAGGAGCTCCATGCAGGTCTCCCAGGTGGTGATGGGGGCCCAGTCCATTTTCCTCTGCATTCCCAGGAACATTAGTAGGGAGCTGGATGGGGAGTGGAGCAGCTGGGACTCAAACCGGCTCTCATATAGGATGCTGGTGTTGCAGGAGGGAGTTTAACTTGCTCTCTGACAACCCAGGCCCCACCCCAATTTCATTATGAAAAATTTCAAAACTGTCTTTTTATTTTTTATTAGGCAGAGTTAGACAGTGAGAGAGAGAGACAGAAAGGTCTTCCTTCAGTTGGTTCACCCCTAAATGGCCACTAAGGCTGGCGCAGCCGATCCAAAGCCAGGAGCCAGGTGCTTCCTCCTGGTCTCCCATACAGGTGCAGGGCCCAAGCACTTGGGCCATCCTCCACTGCCTTCCCGGGCCACAGCAGAGAGCTGGCCTGGAAGAGGGGCAACCAGGACAGAATCCGGTGCCCCGACCGGGACTAGAACCTGGGGTGCTGGCGCCACAGGTGGAGGATTAGCCTAGCGAGCCGAGCCGCAGCGCCGGCCCAAAACTGTCTTATTTTTCAAATTCCCCAAGTAGAATGAGCATCATTAACAGACACTGGCTGGGAATACAGGCCCCACGGAATCTCACATTCTGGGAAGAAGTTCCCTGGGTCTGTTTTCTTATAGTGCTGAAAAGTCATGCATGGAGACTGGAGTCGTCCAAGACAGTGGGTGAAACAGTTTCCTGAGATAGCTACTGGCAGAGTTTAATAAACCATGCACTGAAGACAGTCTCAAGGGCTGGGCTGTTCCTCTGATACCCTTGAGAGACTAGTACTTTTTTTTTTTTTAAGATTTATTTATTGTATTTATTTGAAAGGCAGAGATAAGGCAAAAGAGAAAGAGATCTTCCATCTGCCGGTTCACTCCCCAAATGGCAGCAATGATGGCCACAATGGCTGAGGCTGGGCCAGGCCAAAGCCAGGAGCTTCTTCTGGGTCTCCCACATAGCCAAGCACTTGGGCCAACCTCTGCTGTTTTCCCAGGCCATTAGCAGGGAGCTGGATCAGAAGTGGAGCAGCCCGAACTCCAATGGGCACCCACAAGGGATACTAACACTGCAGACAGAGGCTTAACCTTCTGTGCCGCAGCGCCGCCCTAGTCTTTAGTCTTTGTTGTTCCTCATAATCATCCAGAATCAATAAATCCTCAGCAGGATCACAGTAAAATAATCTAAACTAACCAGATCGCTGCTCTTTCTTCTGCTGGTTTTTCCTATCCGGGCAGTTAGTGCTGAGGCATAAATGAATACACACCAGCATCAAACAGGCATTCAGGAATAGCAGTTTCATACCTAGATGAGGAGTACATGAACCCTCACTGAGCAGGTCTTTCAAATTCTTGTGTTTGGAATTTTTTTTTTTTTTTTACACAATAAAGCAGTGAGGAAAACACCACTTTCTTGGAGTTGAAGATCTCTTAATGACTAGCAAAAATCAAAATCAAAATAATTTGGGGGCCCAGCACGGTGGCGCAGTAGGTTAATTCTCCGCCTGTGGCGTCGGCATCCCATATGGGCGCCGGTTCTAGTCCCGGCTGCTCCTCTTCTGATCCAGCCCCCTGCTATGGTCTGGGAAAGCAGCAGAAGACGGCCCAAGTCCTTGGGCCCCTGCACCCGTGTGGGAGACTGGAAGAAGCTCCTGGCTCTGGCTTCGGATCGGCGCAGCAGCGGCCGTGACAGTCATTTGGGGAGTGAACCAACGGAAGGAAGACCTCTCTCTCTGTCTCTCCCTCTCACTGTCTGTAACTCTCTCTCTCAAATAAATAAAATTAAATTAAATTAAAAAAAAAAAGTAATTTGGAACACATGGTTCAGGAAGGAAACAAGCCCAAACGCAGGGTTCTGGCCGTCTTCCCACTTGGCCCAGGTGAACAGGCAGCAGCGGTGAGGGTCACTTCAGATTTCCTATGCCGTGGACGGTTCTTTGGAAACAGACTTTCAGCCTCCCCTGAGACGAAAACGGAAGCCTTTTTGGATTAGACAGAGAATCGCTACTTGACCCAGCTATTCCGGTTAGGTGCACAAAGGAATTAAGAACCGAAATGCACCCTCTCTCTAACTCTGCCCTTCAAGTAAATAAGCACATCTTCAAACGACCAGAAACTCACACCGCTGCTCGCACAGCCAAGAGCGTTGATCCGCAAGAGCCGGAAGGCGGGAGCCACGCGAGTGTCCACAGAACGCGCGGATAAACAAACTCCCACCCACGAGAACGCGGCTCAGGGAGAAGGCAGGGCCGGGGGCCTCCAAGCCTGCGCTCGCGGCGCCTGAGGCGGGGGCACACGGCGTAGGGGCGTCTGAGGCGGGGGCACACGGCGTAGGGGCGTCTGAGGCGGGGGCACACGGCGTAGGGGCGCCTGAGGCGGGGGGCACACGGCGTAGGGGCGTCTGAGGCGGGGGCACACGGCGTAGGGGCGCCTGAGGCGGGGGGTACGCGGCGTCTGAGGCGGGGGGCACACGGTGTAGGGGCGTCTGAGGCGGGGGGCACACGGCGTAGGGGCGTCTGAGGCGGGGGGCACACGGCGTAGGGGCGCCCGAGGCGGGGGGTACACGGCGTAGGGGCGTCTGAGGCGGGGGCACACGGTGTAGGGGCGTCTGAGGCGGGGGGCACATGGCGTAGCGGCCCTGAGGCGGGGGGTACACGGCGCCCGAGGCGGGGGGCACACGGCGTAGGGGCGTCTGAGGCGGGGGGCACGCGGCGTAGGGGCGCCTGAGGCGGGGGCACACGGCGTAGGGGCGCCTGGCGGGGGTACACGGCGCCCGAGGCGGGGGGCACACGGCGTAGGGGCGTCTGAGGCGGGGGGCACGCGGCGTAGGGGCGCCTGAGGCGGGGGCACACGGCGTAGGGGCGCCTGAGGCGGGGGGTACGCGGCGTCTGAGGCGGGGGGCACACGGTGTAGGGGCGTCTGAGGCGGGGGCACACGGCGTAGGGGCGTCTGAGGCGGGGGGTACACGGCGCCCGAGGCGGGGGGCACACGGCGTAGGGGCGCCCGAGGCGGGGGGTACACGGCGCCCGAGGCGGGGGGCACACGGCGTAGGGGCGCCTGAGGCGGGGGCCACGCGGCGTAGGGGCGCCCTAGGCGGGGGGCACACGGCGTAGGGGCGCCCGAGGCGGGGGCACACGGCGTAGGGGCGTCTGAGGCGGGGGGTACGCGGCGTCTGAGGCGGGGGTCACACGGCGTAGGGGCGTCTGAGGCGGGGGGTACGCGGCGTCTGAGGCGGGGGCACACGGCGTAGGGGCGTCTGAGGCGGGGGGTACACGGCGCCCGAGGCGGGGGGCACACGGCGTAGGGGCGCCTGAGGCGGGGGGTACGCGGCGCCCGAGGCGGGGTCACACGGCGTAGGGGCGTCTGAGGCGGGGGCACACGGCGTAGGGGCGCCTGAGGCGGGGGGTACACGGCGCCCGAGGCGGGGGGCACACGGCGTAGGGGCGCCTGAGGCGGGGACACGCGGCAGGGCCGGAAAAGGCAGGCTCGGGAGACGGACGCGGCGCTGCCCACACGGAGACGTGCGTGCGTCCAGTGCCCCCGAGCAGCCGCCGAGAACAGGTAAGTGACACGTGACAGACGCCTCCCACACCTTTCACCGTACGTGGAATAAAAACGCCCCTCCAGAAACGGGGAAACCTCAGGGATGAGGATCGTGACCCCGGAAAAGCGGAGCCGAGCCCGCGGCGACCGGCCAGCGCCCCCGCCGCCTCAAAGTTGCTTATTAGCATATTCTCTCCCATAATACTTTGCTTCCTCCACACCAAAATTTGGTTGCGTGAAACCACAGCCGAATATCCAAAAACCGCCTTTATGTTCCCAGAGCGTTTTCGTGTGCTATGTTAATGCCAAAGGAACAATAATTGGGGTTTTTCCGTGAACCGCAAAGTCGCCTTTCTGTAACGGGAACGCGGATGCTTGGGGACGGTGGCGGGGCGGGGTAGTTGCCAGCTTTGCGCAGTGGCAGTATCGTAGCCAATGAGGTTTATCCGAGGCGCGATTATTGCTAATTGAAAACTTTTCCCAATACCCCGCCGTGACGACTTGAAATATAGTCGGCATTGGCAATTTTTGACAGTCTCTACGGAGACTGAATATTTTGTGTTGTTTAAAAGCAGATTTTCCCGTGGGTTTAGCTATTAGTGTGGCTTAGTGAAATTCATCAGATATGGTATTTCTGGGTTCTGTCATGTGGTGGACAATTCTTGTAGTTGATGTTTCACACATGCAGCGATGTACTTAGTGGTCCATCCTACTATGCTGCCTTGTAAGGGTCAGTTGTGCTCACACACCGGCTTTCTTCTCCATCTCGCCCTCCCAGTTCCGCGGTTTCGGATTGAACCAGTACGGTGCTTACCTTTTAACCGTCCCCTAAGAGTTCGCTCCTCAGCCCTGCCTCCTGTGTGACGTCATTGTTATTTGCATAAGATTCCCCGGCATCCCACGCGAGTGTTGTGGCGGTTACAAAAATCAGACTCCCGACCCAGCTGGTGAGCCAATAATAAGAAACGACTCGGGGCTTTGGAACTGAAACAGAGCTGCTCGAGTGGCGGCGTCCTACGTCCGCGGGCGCGAGGGAAGCTACTCACCGTCACTGTGAAGGCTGTTGGCGTCCCTGGGACGGCGGGGTGGGCGGTCCGTTTCTTCAGCTTTGCGCAGTGGCAGTATCGTAGCCAATGAGGTTTATCCGAGGCGCGATTATTGCTAATTGAAAACTTTTCCCAATACCCCGCCGTGACGACTTGAAATATAGTCGGCATTGGCAATTTTTGACAGTCTCTACGGAGACTGAGCTTTATTCGGTGAAAAGCCAGAATTGAGAATTTCGGTTTAGCTTCTGTGAGCTTGTTTAGGGTTTTCAGTTATTTGAAAGCAGTGTGTCGGTGGTGTTCTGTGTATGTGGTTGTAATGTGATTTGCTGTTGAAGTTGGTAGAACTCGGCCTGACACTTTTGGTTCGTGGACTGCTCGATCTCCTCATTTGTTTTCGAAAGGGCTGGCTGCACACGGGCACAGGAGAGGACTGGCGGAGCTGGAGCTGGAACCAAGTGGGCTTACCTCTGGTGTTAGAGTTTCTACTACACCAGCCTCCTGCAGTCCTGTCCCATTAGGCGGCTCAGAGGGCTTCAGGAGTTGTACCCCTGGCCATGGCAGTTCTAGCTGCTACTGCTCTTGTCCTCCACCCTCCGGCCACTCCTTTGACCTGAGGCAAAAGGATGTGGTGGTCACCAGTGACTAAGGTGGTCGCAGCGGTACCCACATTGTGAGCCACACTGGGCAGGATAGCTCCAGGGGTAAATTAGACCCAGCCCTTGCTTCAGAGTTCACAGTCGAGATAGACGACTACCAAGCAAACAGATGGAATTCCTGGTTCCAGGCCCCAGTTTGGACCAGCGCTGGCCATTGTCTCCATTCAGGGAGTGAACAGGTTGGATGAAAGATCTTTGTCTTTCAAATAACTAAAAATCTAGATCAGTTCCTTTGCTTTTTTTTTTTTTCTTCCCTTCACAACACTGATATTTTGAACAGTCCAAGAAATGTAGCCTGTCCCACATTCTGGCTTCATCTGATTGTGTGTGCGTGTGTGTGTATGTGAAGATTTATTTATTAATGTAATTGCAAAGCAAAATTAGGGAGACAGAGAGAGGTCTTCTATCCACTGGTTAACTCTCCAAATGGCTGCAACAGCCGGAGCTTCTTCCAGGTCTCCCATATGGGTTGCCAGAAGGAACTGGGCCATCTTCTGCTGCTTTTCCAGGCACATTAGCAGGGAGCTGGATCAGAAATGGAGCAGCCGGTCTCAAACTGGCGCCATATGGGATGCCGGCACTGCAGGCAGTGGCTTTACCTGCTGTGCCACAGCGCTATCCCTGTAAGCAGTAATCTGAAATGAACAACCTCTGACATAGGAGCCATTTCATAGTGAATCCCTTTACTTTACAACAACTCCTCTAAACTGCTTCCTGTAGGGCTAAGATAAATCAGTGTTGCTTCTCTGGAACCCAGCACAGGTATTCTAGGCCCGGGAAGGATTCAGGGCCTGGCAGCCCAAAGTAGTCGAGAAATGTTCCCTGACAAACCAGTGTGTCTGAACTGAATGAAGGGGATGGAAAGAGAGAGTTGATGAGAACTAAAAGGGTGTCCTAGAGCCCCCAAACATGATGGAAACTGCAGGAGGAGCCAGTGTGCTGCCCAGACGGTGACAGTTCAAGGAACTGTGATCTCCTTGAGTGTGAGGTCTGAAGATCCACTCCAGTGGTTTACCCACTGGTTGGGTGTAAAAGAAGCCTGGAGAAAACTGAGGGTGGAACCCTCCCACCCCCCAGCTTATTTTGTGTTGATCAGGAGGTCAGATGATGCCCTGGTGATCCAGACACCGGAATCCTCTCTCAACTCACTCCCTGCCCGTACATTTGGAATTCAGTATGGCTGGATTCTTAATCGCTCTCCTTTTAACAATTTAATTGGGAATGTCTTTTGTTTATTTGAAAGGCAGAGCAAGAGAGAGAGAGAGAGGAGAGAATCTTCCACCCACTGAGTCATTTTCCAAATGCCCACAGCAGGTGGAGCTGGACCAGGTCAAATCCAGGAACCTAGAACTCCACCCTGGTCTCATGTGTGCAGCAGAGACACAAATACTTGAGGCATCACCTGCTGCCTCCCAGAATGCCGGTTGGCAGGAAGCTGAATTGGAAGCACAGGAGACTCAATCCTGGGCACTGTGATGCAGGATCCGGCGTCTCAAGTGGCAGTTTAACCCGCTGCACCACAATGTCCACCCTCTGGCCTTTTTTAAATAAAATATTTATGACAAACATACACTTTTTTAAAAGATTTATTTTATTGGGGCTGGTGCTGTGGTGTAATGGGTAGAGCCACTGACTACAGCGCCAGCATCCCATATGGTTTTTTTTTTTTTTTTTAAGATTTATTTATTTAATCAAAAGTCAGAGTTACACAGAGAGAGGTAAGGCAGAGAGAGAGAGAGGTCTTCCATCCGCTGGCCCACTCCCCAGACGGCTGCAACAGCCGGAGCTGTGCTGATCCGAAGCCAGGAGCCAGGAGCCTCCTCTGAGTCTCCCCCATGGGTGCAAGGGCCCAAGGACCTGGGCCATCTTCTGCTGCTTTCCCAGGCCACAGTAGAGAGCTAGATTGGAAGTGGAGCAGCCGGGTCTCGAACCGGCACCCATATGGGATGTCAGCGCTGCAGGCCAGGATGTTAACCTGCTGTGCCACAGCACCAGCCCCCCAATATGGGTTTCTTTCTTTTTCTTTTTTTTTTTTTTTTAAGATTTATTTTATTTACTTGAAAGAGTTACAGAGAGAGGTAGAGATAGAGAGGTCTTCCATCTGCTGGTTCATTCCCCAGTTGGCCACAGTGGCTGGAGCTGCACCGATCCAAAGCCAGGAGCCAGGAGCTTCCTCCGGGTCTCCCATGTGGGTGCAGGGGCCCAAGAACTTGGGGGCCATCTTCTACTGCTATCCCAGGCCATAACAAAGAGCTGGATGGGAAGAGGAGCAGGGACTAGAACTGGCGCCCATATGGGATGCTGGCCAGGGTGTTAACCTGCTGTGCCACAGCGCCAGCCCCCCATATGGGTTTCAATCCTGGCTTCATCATTTCCAATCCAGCTCCCTGTAAATGCACCTGGGAAAGCAGCGGAGAATGGTCCAAGTGCTTGGGCCCCCTGCATACATGTGGGAGACCTGGATGAAACTCCTGACTTCAGCCTGGCCAGTCCTATCCATTGCGGCCATCTGGATCTCCCACATAGGTGGCAGGGGTCCAAGCACTCGGGCGATCATCCGCTGCCTTCCCTGGGCACATTAGCAGAGAGCAGGATTGGAAACAGAGCAGTGAGGACTTCAGCTAGTGCTCTGATATTGGATTCTAGCGTTGCAGGTGGTGATGAACCCACTGTGCCACAATGCCGGCCCCCACAGAAAGGGTTTTTTTTTTTTTTTTAATTTATTTATTATTTGAGAGAGAGCTCTCCCATCTACTGGCTTGCTCCCTGAGTACCCACAGTGGCGGGGGCTGGGCAAAGGCCAAAGCCAGATACAGGAACTCAACCCCAGGTCCCACCATGTGGGTGGCAGGAGCCCAGTCGCTTGAGTTATCACTGCTTCCCGCGGTCTGATTGACACCAAGCTGGAATCAGGAGTGGGGTGAGGACTCGAACCCTGGTAGTGCAAAGGGGGTTGCAGGCCAACTCCTAGGCTAAATGTCAATTCAGTCCTCTTTTTTTTTTTTATTAGAAAAGTAAAATAGTACAGGAGCATGAACTCTTATGCTTTGCTTGCAGGGGTGTCATCTTGTAAAACCACTGTGAAAAAGATTTGCGATGCCCTGACGGTTCCAGCTCCAGACAGGGGCTAATTGAGGTGAGTCACATACTCACCTTGAACGCGAAACTCAAGGGGGCGCCAAAGACTCAGTAATTAAGATAAATACTTGCTTTGGGGCGAATGGAGGCATGCAAAGGCAAGAGTTAGGGCCTTCCTTCCTTCCTTCCTTCCTTCCTTCCTTCCTTCCTTCCTTCCTTCCTTCCTTCCTTCCTTCCTTCGGTTTTATTTATTTATCTGAGAGGTACAGTTATGGACAGAGAGAAGGAGAGACAGAGAAAGGTCCTCCATCCACTGGTTCGCTCCCCCAATGGCCTCAACAGCCAGAGCTGAGCAGATCCAAAGCTAGGAGCCAGGAGCTTCTTCCAGGTTTCCTATGCAGGTGCAGGGGCCCAAACACTTGGACCATCTTCTAATGCTTTCCTATGCCATAGCAAAGAACTGGATCAGAAGAGGAACAGCCGGGACACAAACTGGTAACCAAATGGGATGCCAGTGCCGCCGGCTGAGGCTTAACCTACTACATCACAGTGCTGGCCCCTAGAGCCTGTCGCCTGTCTTTATTAACATTTTTTTTAATGTTTATTTATTTGAAGGCAGATAGAAAGAGAGAGATTCCATCTGTGGGTTCACTCCCCGAAATGTCCACAACAGCCAGGGTTGGACTAGGTCAGGCAGAAGCCAGGAGCCTGGAAGGAACTCCATCCAGATCTCCCACATGGGTGGCAGGGACTCAAGTTTTTGAGCCATCACATGCTACCTCCCAGGATCTGCATTAGCAGGAAGCAGGAAGTGGAGCCAGGACCCAACCCCAGGCACTCCAGTATGGGATGCAGGCATCCAAAGCAGCAGCTTAGCCCCAAAGCCAAGCACCCACACCCCTGCCCCTTCATTCTTTTCAATGGCTGCAAAGTATTCGATGGGATGAGTGCCCCCATAAAAGTCTGTTTTGTATCATTCTTGACCAAATCACAAAATCTTGCATCCGTTACCCTAGTACTATGTTGAATAGCTCCATCACCTCCAGAATTCCTCTGTGAAGCCACTTGTAGATGGTCTGACCCGCTTCCCCAACCCTTGGCACTCTCGAGGCATGTGGAGGGGGGTGTGTATGTGTGTGCATGTGTATGTGTGTGTGTGAGCAAGCATCTACTTGCTTCTAAGCAAACAGAAGACAAGTGTGACAAAAATCAAACACAACCACTGAAAAGATGAACAAATAGCCCAAGGGAAGCAAAAACACTGTTAAAAAGGAAAGGTGGGGGCCGGCGTCATGGCACAGTAGGTTAATTCTCCGCCTTCTGTGCTGGTTCCAGTCCTGGTTGCCCTTCTTTCAAACCAGCTCTCTGCTATGGCCTGGGAAAGCAGTAGAAAATGGCCCAAGTGCTAGGGCCCCTGCACCTGCATGGGAGACTGGGAAGAAGCTCCTGGCTCCTGGCTTCAGATCAGCACAGCTCCGGCCATTGCAGCCATTTGGGGAGTGAACCAATGGAAGGAAGACCTTTTTCTCTGTCTCTCCCGCTCACTGTTTGTAACTCCACATCTCAAATAAATAAATAAAATCTTTTTTTTTTTTTAAAGGTGGGGTGGGCATTGGGCCTAGCATTGTCTTCAGTATGTTAGTACTTCACATTGGAGAACCTGGATTCAGTTCCTGACTCTGGCTCCCGACTCCAGCTTCCTGCATCAGCTGACCCTGGGAGGCAGCAGTGATACGGAAGTGCTTGGGCTCCTGCCACCTGTTGGGGGACCTGGGTTACTCTCTCAATTCCCAGCATCAACCCAACCCGGCCCTGGGGCCACTGCAGACATTGGGAAACTGGGAAGTGAACCAGTGGATGAGCACTCTCTTTCTCTCTCTCTCGATTTTCTGCCTCTCAAAAAACAAAATTCAAAAGAAAACCAGAAGTGAGTGTTTGGCCTAGAGTTGAGACAGCAGTTAGAATGCCTGCATTCCACATTGGACAGTCTGGGTTCCAGGCTCTGCTCCAGTTCCAGCTTCCTGCTAACACGTACCCTTGCTAGTGATGGCTCATGTGGGGTTCCTGCCACCCACGTGGATTGAGTTCCAGTTTTCCTGCCTTGGTCCCAGTCTGGGGCTGACGCAGGTATTTGGGAAGTGAACCAGTGAATGGCAACTCTGTGTTTTGCTGTCTGTCTCTGCCTTTCGAATAAATAAAAACAAAAAAAAAAAATAATGTGACTTTTTCATTTATTTAAAATTTACTTTCATTTTAATTTATTTTCATTTTTGTTTGAAAAGCAAACACATGCACATACACACACAGAGACAAAAAGAGAGAGCTCTTACATTCACTTGTTCACTTCCAAAAGCCCACAGTAGCTCAGCTCCAGGCCTCAATCCAGGTCTCCCACGTGATTGGCAGGGACTCAAGTCCCTGAGCCCGCATTGCTGCGTCCCGGGGTGCATGGTCATTGAGGTCCAGAAGTTGGAATTGGAAGCCGAGGTGGTGGTTGAGCCCAGGCACCCCAATATGGATTTTTGGTGTCTTTTTTTTTTAAAGATTTATTTATTTGAAAGAGTTACACAGAGAGAGGAGAGGCAGAGAGAGAGAGAGATCTTCCATCTGCTGGTTCACTCCCCAACTGGCTGCAATGGCTGGAGCTGCGCTGATCTGAAGCCAGGAACCTCCTCTGGGTCTTCCCATGCAGGTGCAGGAGTCCAAGGACTTGGGCCATCCTCACTGCTTTCCCAGGCCTTAGCAGAGAGCTGGATCAGAAGTGTAGCAACCAGGTCTCTTACCGGCACCCATATGGGATGGCGGCTCTGCAGGCAGCGGCTCTAAGCGCTACACCACCGCGCCAGCCCCCCGACTGGTGCCTTAACTGCTGCACCAGATGCCCACCCCTTCTAAGAACCTCGCTGTGGTTCCGCTTCCGCCCCTGGAAGTTAGCCTCGGGCAGGTGAGACCACAGCATGATGATGAACACCAATCGCATTATACTCTAGATATAGTTTTGTGACTTCCTTTTTCTTTCTGCTAAGCAATATGTCATGGATGTTTTTAATGTCAGCATCCTGCTCCCTCCCTTCCCACAGGGTTGTCTGCTGCCACAGTTAACCAGTCCCCTAGTGATGGACATTTGGGTTGTTTCAGTTGACATTTCAATCAGTGAGAGGCCATGTATATAATGGTGGCCCATAGATAATATAGCTTAATGACATCATATCCATCTTTTTTTTTTTTTGGACAGGTAGAGTTATAGACAGTGAGAGAGAGACAGAGAGAAAGGTCTTCCTTCCATTGGTTCACTCCTCAAATGGCCGCCACGGCCGGTGGGCTGCACCAATCTGAAGCCAGGAGCCAGGTGCTTCCTCCTGGTCTCCCATGCGGGTGCAGGGCCCAAGCACTTGGGCCATCCTCCACTGCCTTCCCAGGCCACAGCAGAGAGCTGGACTGGAAGAGGAGCAACCGGGACAGAATCCGGCGCCCCAACTGGGACTAGAACCCAGGGTACTGGCGCCGCAGGCAGAGAATTAGCCTAGTGAGCCATGGCACCGGCCCATATTCACGCAGCGTGCCAGCCATAGCAGCCGTTTGGGGGGTGAACCAATGGTAGGAAGACCTTTCTCTCTGTCTCTCACTGTTTAACTCTGCCTGTCAAAAACAATTATTTGAAAGGCAGAGTTAGAGAGAAGGAAGAAGATATTTCATCCATTGCAAAGGCTGGGGCTGGGCTAGGCTGAAGCCAGGAGTCTGGAACTGCATTTGGGTCTCCCATGTGGGTGCAGGAGCTCAAGCACTTGGACCATCTTCCACTGCCTTCCTAGGTGCATCAGCAGGGAGCTGGATCTGAAGTGGATCATCCAGGACTCGAACCAGTATTCATATGAGATGCTGGCATGGTAGACAGTGGCTTAATCCGTTGTGCCATAAAGCTGGCCCTACCCATCTTTTTTTACCTCTCTTTCTCTGTCATTCTTCCTTTCAAATAAATAAATCTTAAAGAAAAAAAAAGAAGAAAGAAAGACAGATAGATGCTGGAATTAGAAATAGGAGCTGGGTATGGAACCCAGGTATGCTGACATGGGACACGGGTGTTATAACCAGCGATTAGGATGAGCATTTATTTATTTAAAGATGTATTTATTTGAAAGGCAGAGTTACAGAGAGACAATGGCAGAGAGAGAGAGAGCTCTTCCACCCACTGGTTCAATCCACAAATGGCTACAACAGCTGGAGCTGGGCCAATTTGAAGCCAAGAGCCAGGAGCCTCTTGTGGTGTCCCTCGGAAATGAACAGAGGCCAACTAATTTGTGCAGGGGCCCAAGCACTTGGGCCATCTTCTACTGCTGTCCCAGGCCATCAGCAGGGAGCTGGATGGCAAGAGGAGCAGCCGGGGCTCAAACTGGCGCCCGTATGGGATGGCAGCACTGCAGGCGGTGGCTTTACCCGCTACACCACATCACCGGCCCTGCTGCTGAGCTTACTGCCCACCTGTCATGTGGCATCCCTACGGCAGTGCTGGTTTATGAGCCCCAAATTTGCCTACAAGGCCATGTGGAACAGAGCTGACAGCTCGTTGGGAAATGTCCTGCAGCTTTCCTGTGGCTCTCATGGCTCAGGAGGCAGGCAGCGAGCTACCACCCATCCGCCCGAGGCCCTGGCCCTGCCAGGCAGCCGTGGTATTTGCTTGCCCTTCACTCTTTGTCTCGGCAGAGAGCAGGAGAGGGGCCGGCTTGGGTGAGGTAATCCTTGTCTGGCAGGGAGCAAGGATCTGGGCCCACCCCAAACTGACCTTCTCCTTCTCCACCATGTAAGGAAGTATCCTCAGAAACGTTAGCCCAACCCCCACCGCACCCTCCCACCCTGATGCCTGTGCCCGCACGGCCCCGCTGGCTCAGGGGCTGTCTCAGAGGGAAAAGGGCCCACCAGCCCCGAACAATCTGCTAAGTGTTCAAGTCACTGCAGGATGTCTGCAAGACTCACCAGCTTCTAGGTTAAAAATATCCCATGCCTGAGGGGCCCTCACTGTCTGGCTCAGAACAGAGCTGGCTCAGAGCTCCAAGGCCCCTG